GCTTTAAGCGAAATTCAGACAATTATAATCAGTGTTATCGGCAAATACAGAGTGCTTAAAAAAATGTTAACACTTAAATGTGACTATCGTTTTTAATGGAAAAAGAACGGATAATACACTATAACATGATAACAAATGTATGTTAATTGCTTCAAAAAGTAAAAAAAGTCTCCACTTATTCACCATCAATGTCAAGACGTGCCTGGAATCTTCTCCAGGTGGCCTCCAGAGCCCGGAGGCACATTTCTCGTGGCATTGTTGCAAATTCTCAGAATTGTTAAACAATTTCTGAAGCCCCCTGTACAGCGATATTTGAGAATTCAAATCTGACCACTGCTTGAATAAATATTACATTTCTCTTTAACAATCATGCCTAATCCATTAAATCTTATTTTTTTAAGAAAAACTGCTTTTCATGCATTCCTTTAATACTTCTCTGGACATTTTTTTTCTCGAAGCTACTTACCAACACCCGAGAGAGGTACCTATATTTATCGACCTGCTTATTGATCTGTTGAGAAGGGTTTGTGGCACACTATCTTCTTCCATTACCAATCTAGGCGATTAGGACCGGTTGTGCACCCCGCAGCTATTTCCTGCATCGTCCGGAGTGTCGTAAAACCCATTTGCGGCCCCCACTTTTTGTAGGTTTCCTCTGCCAAAAGCGGAGACTTAAATCCTGGCACTTTAAGCCAGGATGCATCGCTTCAGAAATAGCCGCGAGGTATTGGCATGGATTTAGTTGTGTCTTGGGGTGTGGCGAGGCAGGGGCGGTCCTGCCCACCGCTGCCTGTCTCAAAGCTTCATTTTCTCACATGCGGTGTTCATCCATCGGACGGTAAATGAACGTGGATGTAGGCTTTTTACAAATGTGGACCAAAATTATGGAATGTTAGTAGGTTATGTTGCGCACATGATGATGTCAGCATGATAAATGCAAACAGCATGAAAGAGAAGCGTCAATCCGTCGACTGAAATCTATTCCGGCGCTCGCGATAACGCGCATTGAATTGCGCGTTCGAGCGTCGATTGTACTCAATTGATATGCATTGTATGTAGTTGCGTCATGTGAACCATGCAGCCACTTGAGGTGCTACATTCACTGCAATAGAAGTACAAGCCACCGATCCTTGAGTCCAATCGTGACCTCGGAATCGTGAAAATGTATCAAAGTGCCAGGAAGACGAAATGGAAAATGCATAATACACTTACAAAACTGCACTTGTTACTGTGCACCACACACTCATCTCTCAATAAGCGAGCACGATTTGTGCAAATCACTGGCAGCCTAACCGAGCGCATCGCATCTATCAAGGAAATCCAAGATGTGCAGAAGTTGCAGTGCAGCTAAATTTCGGCATTGTTTTTGTTAAAAAATGATTCCACTTTACTCATAGGAATAAATTGCAGTTTTTATTTGTATTTATAGGCATTCATTAACAGTGTTTAAATATAACTATTTTACGCTACGATAATTTTCCTAACGAGAATTTTCACCTCCACGATGTGTAATTGCCTCCTCGGCGGTGCCAACTGCCACCCCGCTATCAGCTTTCCCTTCTTGTCCCTCGGTCCCACGGTGTTATAATCTTTCGCAGTTAGTTATTTGGGTGTTAATCAATGTGTAATGTTAAGTTATTTTTACACGCAATGCCAACATATCAAACGAGTTTATCGTTTTACCAAAACAAACCCACAACGCATGGGGTAAGAGGTTTCACGTTTCTATACAGCAGGACGGTCTCAGTCTGGCCGTCACAAGCAGTTTGACATATTGGGCCTTCGGGCATAGACTCAACAACTGTGTAGTCAGTGCGATGAAAAAAATGATTGCAACAATTTTTTTTACAATTGTATTTAATTTGGTTGATCCAGTCTTCAGGCACTGCCATATAATTTATTTGAAATTTAAAATGTTTTTTAAAATTGTATTTAACTGACAAAATGATGCATCCATTCACTTTAAGTAAAATATCACAGCTGGAAAATGAAAAATATATTGGATCACATTTGAAAGAAAAACCCCCACAAGAAATTAATGTAAAATCGTTCTTACAAGTGTAACATAAGAATAGATTTCACAGTCGGAGCAATGCAATACAAGTTCTACTGAAATAATGAGAAAGGGTGGCCGTGTATGTGTAAATTCAAAATGTAATCTTCTTGGTTCTTTCGGTAACGTCACGTAGAATGGAAATAATAAAATAATAAAACATAATAAAATAATTCTCACGACGTTTCGGCCACAACGCAAGCAGCCGTCCTCAGGTGAAGAACAGGTCTTAGAGTCGCGACCTGTTCTTCACCTGTGGACGGCTGCTTGCGTTGTGGCCGAAACGTCGTGAGAATTATTTTATTATGTTTTATTTTTATTATTTTATTACTTCCCTTCTACGTGACTTTATCGAAAGAACCAAGAAGATGAATCCCTGCGGTCACGAAAGCTTTAAATCGAAACAAAATGTAATTTTACGTGTGAATTTGTGGATAACTTCCACCTCTCCCGAGATGTCTCGCCGGTGTGGGAAAGTCGGCCAATTGCCTTCTAGAAGGTCTCTCTTGAGCTCCCTCTCGTTTGTGAATGAAAGCTAAAAAAAATTGTGTTTGGGCTATGACCCCAGCAAGCGATCACCAACTCATTTAAGCCTTTAACGTTAAGCTTTTAACATAACATCCCGTTTAATTCCCGAAATGAAATGTATTTGGCTGCAGTCAGGATTGACCTTTAACTTAATTCGGGCAGAATCCGTGGTGATCGTGCGTACTCGCGCTCATATGCATCAAGCAAAATCGATGCTTACGCTCAAGAGACCCAATATCCATGCAATAAATTGTACCTGTAAGAATCAACTAATTTTATGAATCATTCGAAATACTCACAAATTATGCAGTGCATAAAACAGTACAAACTAGATATGATAATGAACGAAAAAATAAAGATGGTAAAAATGCAAAAACAAAAACCTTAAGTGACTCTGTCTCATGGACATTTTAACTTTATTGCGGTACTATGGTACCCCGGGGTCCCATAGGGTTACCATAGTACCCCGGCTCTCGCATCATGTCCATGATGCAGTCGTTTTTAGTCTGTTGATGGTCGGCGATGCAGCAAACGACTCACCCCGGGGTCCCATAGGGTTACCATAGTACCCCGGCTCTCGCATCATGTCCATGATGCAGTCGTTTTTAGTCTGTTGATGGTCGGCGATGCAGCAAACGACTCATCTGGACGAGCTGTACACGATGTACTATCCAAATTTAAATTTTCCATGACAAATTTTTTTATGCTGATGTTTGGCGTTTCGACATGGCGGAGTGGCACTGATTTCGGATTGATTGGTACCCCAGTCGCGGAGTGAAGTACACCCCTGGAGAAAATAGTGTCCCAGAAATAAAATATTTAATTGCCTCGGCCCATTTAGTATTATTGGGTACCCCGGGTTACCGCCATGAGGATCACGTGTCGAACCACTGGGGAAGTGAAAAAGTTACATTCCTATTGACATTAAGCCCGGCATCTGGCAATCGCATCATAATTCCAGAACACATTCATTCACCCACATCTTACTGTGCTTATGGAAAACTGAACTTAATGAAAAGCAACAAAACGGCATGCCTAAATGAGTTTTTCTAATCAGCGTTATATTACCAGTGGTAGCAGATGGTTCACGTAAACGTTGACAAAATAAATAGCGCAGAAGGTGCAAAGTGCACGGAGAAAGCGTGGAGAGATGCACGCTGAGAATTGCAACTGAGAAACGGAAAGAGGAATACACGGATTGGGGATCAAATGCAAATCCGAGACATTGCATTGACTGTTAGGAAAAGTAACCGAGCATGGGCCAAGACACGTCAGAAGGAGGGATGATGGGCAGTAGCCGAGACTAACAATAAAGTGGCAGCTAAGGAGGGAACACACTTAAGGGCACGTCCCAGTTTGGAGTTGTATTGACGAGATCAGCTTATGCGCAAGAATTGTCACATCACAAGACTGTGATGACTTGGGGACAACTTGATTGTATGGATGCACGTTGAACTTCTTTCGCACTGTAAGCAGCCAACCGCGCTAATCAGAGGTACGGGGGTAGGACAACAAACTAAACACAAAAAGCAGTTCTCAAGAAACGAGTTTTCAATCTAGATGTAAAAATGAATAGCTCCAGTGGCTTCCTAATATCAGAAGGAAGAGCGTTCCAGATGGCCGCTTAAGCGCTAATTGAGCAGTGAACAGATCATGGCTGGTGACGATGACAAATGTGCTGCATTTTTCTGAGCACAGACATTCATTTGTAGCATAATAAGCTCATGATTTCAATCGCTCCCCTGCACCCTCCACAAAGAAACGTCTCTCATCTATATGTTACAGAATGAGTGCAAAAATAATGAAAAAAAAAACGAAATGAAAAACAGGAATAAACAAACATATTGCACCAGCAATTTGAGCAGCAAGATAACGGAGAGGAAAAAAAAGAGTCAGGAAGCCCCAAAAACATGCTGCGATGATATCTCTCTCTCTCTCTCTCACACTAATGGATGGATGTGATAAAAAAAACACAACCGGGCATTTAAAATGTGCTTAGACATATCTGCTGAAGTGGCATAACCGTGGATGAGAAGAAACAATCCATAGTGAGGGCGATCAACGTAATTGTGTCTCGGGAATAAAAAAAAAATCTATCGCAGGGAAATGGCCTGTCATGCGCAGCCGGCCACAGACCCCGGGTACAAAGCAAAACATGGATTTTTATTGACGTTTTACTGATCCGTGCAAACGAGCGGAATTTTATGTCACCACAGCAGAGCGCCACATTGAGCCCAGAGACCTGAGCGCCGTTGTGGGCAAATCCCACGCTCAGCGTTCTGCACATCTCTGAAGTAAAACGTCCAGACAGTTATCTGATTTTAATTCTGAAAGGGTAAGAATTGCCAAAGGTGACGATTGGTGAAATCGCATGTTTGGAAAGAGATTGCGAGTGAAAATAGTTTATCCGATCTAACACCTTGACGTAGAGCTGTTGAAACTCCTCCAGGTTCAGCTTGCCGCTGGGGCAGTCCTTGAGGAAGCCCTTGTACCACTGCTTCAGCTCAGCCTCGTTGAATTCTGTGCTCTTCAGTAAGTCCTCCAGCACCTCTGGAGCCAGCTTGCTGTTTTGCTTGCCCATCGCGAGAGGTCAAAGCTGTGGGGTAAAAGAAGAGGACAGAGTCATTGAGGTCATTGCTCACCAAGGCTCCACAACATCTTTCACTGGCTCAACAGCAAATCGACATTGCTTTTGGCGTGCAGCATTATGGGAAAATCTGGCAATGCCTTCAGAGTATTTTTTGTTTGTTACAACTGGTGAAAATTGGTTAGGAGAGAAACGTGATGTTTGAATTATAATACTGAAAAAAGTAGACATTCAACTTGAATGGATAATAAGAACACAACATATACCAGGTTAAAAAGAGCTTAAAATGTAAATAACATTATTAATTGTCGTTTATATATGCAGGCTGTAAATTAAAAAAATATTATAGTCAACCCTCGATTATCTGGGGCAATGGGGGAAGGGGCAGCCCAGATAAAAAAAAAAATGAATCGGGCATAACAAATGTGAATTAGGTTACACAACGCAATGTGTTGTTTACCAACATAGAATGGCTATTAAGATGAAGAAGATATTTTTATTGTTTCTTGAAGACGTTGGTTTTTTGGTCACGTGAGTCACCGACCCACAGTGAGTGAGGAGCAGTGGCTATTCAAACCAACGGGTGAGTAAAAGCTAAATATTTCCTTTATATTTGTTTCATTACCATGGTTAATCCGCGACGCAGATAATCCACACACTCCGAGTTCTAGGATGCGGCAAAACAATGTCGATGCATGAGAAACACATTTTCTAGACAATTGAACATTATTGTTAATTGTAGTGGCAAGCATTTATAATGTGTCTGTAAAACAAAGTTTGCTTAGCCTCCCCAAGCCCCAGCCACCTATCACGATCCTGCCGTGTAACAAGCTCTCAGTGACAATACTGACAGACGATAGACCATTTATTCTTCTGTGAACAAAAGGGCAAATGGTAAAAAAATGCTTGCATCCGAATAGCTGGACACAAACAAGTCCATCCGGTGCCAAACCATGGCAATTTAATCACCCTGAGCCTTTGTGATATCCGAGCTCACTTACCCCCAAAGCTTGTCCCCATTTAGAAACCCTTTATTAATATTGATGACAATGTTCTGAAAGCCATCATCCCAAAGGATTCCTCTCGTCACCTACAAACTCAAAAATTGACCTCCGACCCACAGGAGGTAGCCCGCAATTCCTAGGGGACGGACAACACGTGTTGTACGTGTCGGGGAGGTCATGTGGCGGCACAGACTATTCCCATAGCTTCTTAAATATAAAACGCATTTACCTTTGTGAATGCCTTTAAGTAGGATACACTTTTCGAGCACAGATAATTTCAACTAACCCCCCACCCCCATGCTAAACCACTCCACAGCAGCAACATAATTAGATTAGACTCATACAAAGCAGCATTGACACCTGCAGACTCAAAAAAATAATGGGAACATTTCCCCATTACCATTAATATCAAATCAAAATACATCTTGTTCTGGGGGAACAGTGGCATACAGCAACACGGGCAGTGACAGTGGTTGAGAACCCCAGGAGATGAAAATATAACCAAGATGCACAGGCAAACTGCTAACCGGACACGTAAGGGTCGACTTCGTTTTTCTTTCGCTGTAGAGAATGAAAGAAAGCAGCATTGAATTATGCGGATGTGTTGTACTTATTAAATGTGTGTAGGACGTCTGCTTCTGCAGTGACCACGCACATATTCGAGCTTTGTTTTAGTTAAAATTATAAATAATTGGCACATACACTATGGGACATTCCATCAGAAATAATTATGAATGTTGGTGCAGAATGAGAATTTCTAATTGTGCGTTATGAAGGATCTGAGTGCTCTAAATTAATAGCTGCCATTTTAAAAGTTAAAACAAGACGATGCATTTAAATTGTAAGAGTCGTCACGTTTTCATGGAACGCATTCAAGTTTAAAGAGGTGGACGACGTGCTAATGTCTTCCTCGGCAGATGAGAGTGCCCACCATCTGAGACAAAAAGTGTGCACAGGCCTCTACAATCTGGAAGTCTTATCAGGCAAGTATGCTGGTGGAGCCCAGGTTGGTATATGCACTCTGATTTGACTTGCAAAGCACTGTGGGTATTTACCATGACACTATACGGCATTAACATATTTCACCTTAACTTGGACTCTTTGAAAGACGGACAGGTGTGGGTCAACCAAACACAGGCCTGAAAACAATAAAAAGGCTGCACATTTTAATAAAGGAATACGCCTCACGTTGATGCGTTAGAACGAGCAGATTAATTTATATAGGGCTCAGACTCTTGCGGTGTTAGGTAATTGCACTCTGCAAGGGTGCGAGGAATAACAGATGGAGTTACGGCTTCATAAACCATGAGGCAGCCCCCCACGCGGGTTCTCTCCAGCTGCTGCTGCCATTTTTTTGATAGCCGAGTGTGCGACACTGCGCCGTGTGATGAGTCTCCCCGAGACCTTGAGCTCGCGGCTCGAGTCGGTCCAGCGAGCGAGACTTTAATGCAGGCAGTGACGGTTTCGTAAAAAAAGAAAAAATATGTATATTTAAGGGGGGGGGGTCATATTGGGCTGAGGCGATGATTTGCAGCCGGTTTCGTGGAACACGCAGAGATGGCGCTGTAGACATGTGCGAGATGATGACTCGCGCACCTGGTGAGCATCGAGGGTGTCGATATTGATAGGCAGTACCGCAAGTAGGTTGCCGAGCTATTTTAATAGTGGCCATATTTTAAGGACATTTTGTCTGTCACAGAAGAGGCGAGTAATTAGATGGATTTTTTGCCAACGTTATTATAGGTTTCATGTTTGAAATAATGGTATCTAAAATATCATCATGACGATCTCATTTTGGACATTTTTTTACCGCAACTTATATAACATGTTCATGAAATTGCCCTTATTTGAGGAGCAATAATAAATTGGCCCAACGTTCTAAGGAAGATTCTGCTGTAAAAGCCTTGAGCCTCCCTTGTGATTTTTTTGTGTAATACATATTCTTATTAGGAGTGATGTTAAGTTGGGTTTTAGTTAATATCTTCATGAAGTTTTAATTTCCATGACACATACATGTCCTTTAAGAACAACACACAGGTAGCAGAGGCTCACAGGGCATTGAGGAATGACCTTAAAAGTCTCAACGCAGGGCTGTGTCCAAGTCGGCCTCCCTTACTATATATGGGTCGACAGTGGTCCATTTATAACATATCAGTTATTGTATAGGTTACTATTCTGATGAAGTAATTGCCTACCATGTACAGAATCAAGTTGCTACACAAGTTCATAAAGAATTCAATAATAATGATAATAATTTACAGGCCTTTGTCAATTCACTGCTGGATGAAGGCTTCCCCATGCCATGTTGGCCAATGGGGTTGTGTGACCATATTTGACCATGTTGACAGGTCCAGATGCTAACTTGCCAATGATGTAAGCCTTGGCCAGGAATTGAGCTCCCGGGATCATGTTAACTGCTGTGCCGCCGTTCCCCTTAATATATAGTAAAAAAATACGTACTTGATAAACAACTTATGAAGGAAATATTAAAGGTGTTCATGAAAGTGATCACATAAAATGCTAATTACTGGTGGTGAGGGCAGAAACGGTAAAGTTATTGCTTAGTTTTGCATCTCGGCTAGAACTAAAGCTATGAAATTAGCTCCAATTTTAAATTAATATTACTGGCAGCATTACAGTCTTCAAGGCGCATTTAATGACATAGCTTGCTCAATGAAGCATTGTCGTCAGATGTTTGTGTCTACATATATTCGAGGCTAATACATTACGTGCAGGCACTATAGAAATGTAATGAGTATGGTGATGACGTCACCCTGCTGATGCTCTTTAAGACCGGGAGCATGAGCAGAGCCTCACCATTCTAGCGAATTGCCCGATGATGCTGGATGCAATTACCAGCGAAACGTCGTACCCAAAAATTGTAAATGTTGTGGTTTCACTCTTCAACACACCGGTGGGTTAAAGCAGTGAACAATTTGTCTTTTGTCAACGTGACACTTTTTTGCTGATTGGCCGTGTCGGGTGGTGGAGGGTTACGACACATTTATAAATAACGCGATCTAACCCAAAACGTTGATTATGAATTATGGTGATATTGTGGTTACATTTACATTTCTTTACGCGATGCATGATCAATTTTTCTGCCCCTGAGTCTCGTATTCATCACAATGCATTGCGGCTCTTGAATTATTGAGGTTTTTTTCTTTTCCCGAAGTTCGAAAATATGCTTCTTCTTGTGATTTTCGTTACCGACCCCCCTGGTTTATGAACAAATTGTCCCTGTGCACTTTTGCGTAGTCGTTGATAACTCCCTCGACGTGAAAATATGGCTTACGTTTGCATAACGAGGTAAACACGAGACCTTGGAATTGTATTTTCACGGCACTATTGTCGGAGGGGTCTCCATTAAAGGGGTGCTCGAAAGAGACCCCTCTCGAGGGCATTTGGCCAACTCTGCCACGGCTGGACAGATATTTTGGGAGAGCTGGGAATGACCACAGTTTACCCCACCACGCGCAACCTGCCGATTGGCTCACTGCGGTGCACCCATTGACACTGCTGGATGGACAGAGGCGGGGAGACTTAAGAACCTTGCGTCATTGCTTCAACTGACGCTTCAGGAAACCGAACCGGTGACCTCTGATGTGCTAGTCCGGTGTGCTAGCCATTACACCGCGCGGCTGCATCCTTTACTCTGCGCAGGATAAAAATGTTCATATTCAGGGTTTCGGCAGTGCCGCCTCAGTGTTCTGAAACTGAAGGCAAGTTGCTCTCCCTCCACCATTTTCTTTAACCAACTCAAGCACAGGGCAGATCATGGTGGTGGGGTAAATGCAGAGCCCATCTCTCTTAAGCCGCCTGAGCAGCGTTGAAGAATAAACAAAAGGCACTTTTATATAAACTGTATAAAGAAAGGGTCTGTCGCTGTAATGACATGAACACTGGGTTCAGGAAACGCTAATGCATTCCTCTTATCTCTCCTCAATTTCTATTTTAAGCATTTAGCTCGATTTACTGGTAGATGGGAAGCTGGTGACAAATGCA